AGGCGGGTCGTCTCCCCGGTTGTCGGGGTGACGGGATTCAGGAGGTGTCTCTGTCTTGTCTCCACGGGGGAGATGGGAGACGTACCTCTATTCTTCGAGGAGGTGGGGACTGAGGCCTCCTGTGTCTCCTCGGGGGTCTTTTGTCGTCCTCTAACGCCCTCAATCTTTCCCCTTGGGAAAAGATGAGGTAGTTGGTCTGGCTGATTTCCGCGAACAGTGCTTTGGTGGTGGCGTCTGCCCCGGCGGGGACAGGGACCTCCTGGAATTGGGCGGCTAGATAGTTTAGGGGAGCCGTATTGTCTTCTTCGAGCGGAGGGGGAACTGAGGAAGATGAAGCCGTGGCTCCATCCCGGTAGCCTGAGGGCCCGGGGATGACGCCCTCGGGGAGTATATTATGGTCGGGGTTGCCGGCGTTATCGGGGACTACATTCTTGTCCGCGAGGTTGTTGTTAGCATCGACGACGCGGACGTTTTGGTCGTCCCGAGTTTGGTCACCCATGACGGTGAAAGATGGTTTTTATCTTTTGGTCTTTGAAAGTTTGTAAGACGGGGAAGCTTAGATTCCCATAGACGGCGCCACTGATCTTACCGGATCAGAGTTGGACCGTCACAGCTGGCTCGAACTGGATTTGAATGAGATGGGGGGTACCTGCAAGACACTCCGATGATAAAATGAGAGACGAAATGAGCAGGCAAAAGTATGTAGGTGTGTAATGAATGAATACCCGACCCTCTTGAAGTAGAGGGTATTTATAGCCCCCAGCGTTGGGCCAAGGTCCCTTTATTGGGCTGACCAGAACTGGCCCAACAAAGGGACTTCCAGGTTCTACGTGTGTAGTGGGGACCCGCACGTGGTTCCCTTTCTGGATGGTGCTCTACAAAGAATTAGGAAGAACAGAGACGCGGTCTTTCCGGAGCTTTAAGGATCCCATAGTGTTCGGAGGGGATAGAGTCTGCCCTACGGGGAAGATGCTCGAGCAAGACTCGAGTTGGAGTGCCCTTAGTCGGGGACGCTGCTCGCTGCGGGTAGCCACGTGCATAACCGTTGTAGCCTGTAACCGGGTACGCTCGGGGTGGTCTGATTCTGAGCATAGCGCGAGGAACTGCTTGGATCTGGGCCTTTACTGGCGTTTTGGGCTAAGGTAGGCCTAGTCCAGAACAACAACTATTGTGTCTTGGCCTTTCTCAAGATCAAAGAAAGATAAGGGATTGAATCAATAACACGCATTAGAATTTGTGGAGTTGCTCTTGAATACTTCTCTTGTATCAACTTTTTGCATAGTAAGAATTCTCCTAATTTCGTTGGAATTAGGCGCAGACGTACCCACACGCGAGGAAGAAAGTGGAGAACTATAAAGACAAATCCTCGTGTCTCTTTTTGTATTGTTTTACTTGCTTTATTTTCATCAATCAATTTGTCTAATAGCATTGTGTAATCGATTTACTCGTAGGAATTTTTACGAACTATTTTTATTTTAAATTAAGTGTTGATATTACTTGTAATCACTTTTGATTATAAATGCCTTTTATATCAACACAAATCAAAGGAAAATTCAATTGCACACCAAGTGTTCGACAAATTATTTTGTTTGTTCTTTTGATAATTGCCATTGGAAATAGCATTGCTAGTAACTTGCTATAAACGATTGATATAGTGTTACTTGATTGAAGTCCAATTAATTCAGATTATCGTATTCATTCCATACGCAATTTTATATTTGCATATTTGAGATCCAATAACTAAGGTTCGGTTGCACTCTTTTCAAATCAAAGTTTTCAAAACAGAATTTTATATCAAATTTTGGTTTGGTGATCTATTCACCCAATCTAGATAAGGCGTTGTCGTCTAACACTTGCTTATGGTCATCTTCTCCGTGACATATTTTTAGGTTGACTTCATTTTCTAAGTTGGAAGAAGATTCTTCGAAGGCTCTTCCCACTACTAGAAAAAACACCTAATATAACAAACTATTACCTCAGTCAGTAAGCCAACTGAAGTAAAAGCTCTTATAGAGGTGCTTGCAAATTTTTTTCTTGTATTAAAATACATTTCACTACGATCCATATTAATAATTGTAGTGGTATATTAAGGCATATAAACTTCGAACTCCAGCACCGATAATTTTTTTTTTATTACAAAATAAACGTATCATTTATAATCATAATATTTATACTAAAACTAAAATACTTTACACCATAATCTAACATACAATTGCTCCTTACATAAACCTTGTAAAATTAGAGGTAGGTGCTCTTTATACACTACTCGAGTTCTAGAATAAATGTATGTCTTCGAAAAATACTACTAAAAATTATCCAAAAATAAATGAAAGATCTTGTTCACGTAGCTCATAAAAATTGTCGGTGCATTGCTCACTCTAAATGACATTAACGAAATATATGTAGTGATCGTAATGGGTCCTGAAAGAATCTTTGTATTCTTCTATAACTTCAATTTGATACTATTCATACTTAAAATCAATCTTAGAAAATATTAACGCTTATTGTAAATGATCCATCAAATAAACAACACATGATAAAGGATTATGATTCTTAATAATCGTCTTAATAAGTTACATGTATTTCACACATGGACACAAACATCTATCATTTTTCTTTACAAACAATAAAGGAACTCTCCATGATAACACCGTTTTCTAATAAATCGTTTCTCCAATAATACTTTGTCCTTTAGCTTAACCATTTTAGATGACAACATCTGGCATGAAGCCTCCTAAATGGGTCCATTTCCAGGGTAATAATTTTTGTTGGAAGCACCTGATACAACTAAATCTCTAACACTTGGATGAGTTTCCGAACTCACAACTTTATATCTAATATCTTTATATAATTATTAATTAAACTGATTTAATGAGATTAAAATATTTAAAATTTCAATTGCTACATTAAATTTTCTACATCAACTCTATTGTTTATTTAAAACTTTTAAATCCTCATATTGTCAATTTATTTTATTTTATTGTTTTGAAAATTCAATATTCAATCTTTAAACTGATTATTCCATAAATCAATTCTACTATCTACTAGCGAAAATCTATTCAAATTCCGAGTCTTCCTCAATAATTTTACAAATTAAATGATAAACTTTTGAAATTTTATAAAAATAAATCTTCTAAAATCATTTTCACTAATGCAATTGTGAAACCTAATTCATCAAAATATTACTTTTATTTTTATCATTTTGCTATATTATTAAAATTAATTTGAAGTTATCTTAGTAATAATTGTGATATCTCTTACAAGTTAAATGCTAATAAGAGGAGAGTGATGTTGAAAAACAACTTATTTGTCTCTCGAACGCTGTCAACTATGTTACCTATAATATTGTACATACCACCTTCAAATTTTATTATTTTTAAAATACTTTTTTTACTATTTATTATTATTTTTTTATTTTTGTAAAAAAAAATTATTATTGATTAAAAAAGTTAAAAATCGAAATTTTTGGTATGTTTAGCAAATTTTCGATGTCGATTTTGGTCATTTATCGGATAATCTTTACCTTTTATAAATTTTTAGTTGCGATTAATCGAAAATTCTAAAATTTGCGATTACGATTCACTGGAAATTATAAAATTTCCGTATCAATTTTTAAAAGCCAACACACGTACTCTAAATTACGTAAATTTTTAATAGAAAAGTTTATCGGAAATTTAAAATTTCCGGGGTATCAGAAATTTCAGTTATATTTAAAATTTTCAGTATATCTACGGATGAAATTTTATATTTTTGTGGTCCTAAACCGGTAACTTCAGCTTCTTCTACGAATTCATATACTGATTATGTGCAGTTCTTCATTACAAATACCGTATGGTTCCTATTTAATTTACACATTTTTTATTTGTGTTTTTTTGTAAATTGATGAAATTTACTAATTATATGTTGTAATTGTCAGATTTTTAAACCACGAACTAAAATTTTAGAATGGACACAGTCTATTGGTAAAAATTATGAGACTTAACATAACATTTTCCCACTTCTCATAGTTCCACTCCTATACACGAGTTGACATACAATTATTGTTGTTGATTTTGTCAACGAAAATCATTAGATTCAGTTAAAATTGAAACTCAATTGTCTACTATCTCCCGTCACTGCTCGTTAGAGGGAGAATTGTTCTATGTAAAAGCATGAGAATCTATATATGCGGGTCATTTCAGGTATTTGAAAGAATTTTCTAAAAAGTGATTTTTTTTAATATATATATATATATATATATATATATATATATATATATATATATATATATATATATATATATATATATATATATATATATATATATATATATATATATATATATATAACATTTATTCTATTTATATATTAAGTCAGTTCGTTATTTAACTGTGTATTTTATTCAAGTGAAAGTTTAAAAAAAGTTTATGTACTATCAAAAAATTTTAAATTTTAAATTTTAAAATTTCTTTTTAAATATTAGAAATTTCAAATTTTTGATTTTTTTATAGAGATAAAATATACTGAAAATTTAAAATATTTGATACTAAAATTTTTTAATTTTCGACTAAATTTATATGACATGATAAAAAAATTAAAAATTAAATGAAATTTCTGATACTGCATCTAAAATTTTAAAAAAATCTAATATATTTAAAAGCAGTTTTGTAAATGTGCCAAGATTGGAGTAGTGTTATGATATGGAGTGTGATGTTAATTCTTTTGTTTATGAATGTCTTTTATTAGAATGTAATTTTCATTAATATTTTTTCTTCAAAAGTAAAAAAAAATAACATTTACATAATTATTTTTGATTAAATTGAAAAGGAATTTTGCTTATTATTTCCAATAAAATAAGTAACTAAATATATTAACTAAAATAAAAATAGAGTTGTTAACCAAGTAAATAGTGGCGTTATTGAAACCACCCTTTCTAAAGGCAGTAATATCTAGAATGCTCGATGATTCTGTGCCTTAGTTAGGAACACACAAAACAAAACCGAAATTGAAAGAACGCGAAAATGGGATGGGTTTGGAGCGACGATGACAACGACGACGATTCTCAACGCAGCATCTCCTCTTCAGGTTCCGATGAACATAGCTCCACCACAAAAATCGTGAAATCGCAGTGTAGAACGGAAGAGGTTGGACCTGGAAAGTTCGTTAGGAAATGCGAGAAAACCGAAGAGCTTCTCAGAACTTGCGCTGGAAGGTAGTGCTTTTCTTTCTTCTTCTTCATAGTAAAAATATGATCGATTCGTTTATTAGGTTTTAGGAGGAAGGTATTTTGCTGCGAATCTAATTCTTTAATTTGAAATTGGTTTCGAATCAAGATGAAAATTAGGGTAAAGATGGTAGGTATTGATTTCGGTTGAAAATGGAATAGTTTTTTTTTTTAGGTTAGGTTATTGTGCCATATTTTTTTATTGATTTGTGGTTTCATCAAGATCCTAACTTGAAGTTAAACTATGATGCTTTATGCACATACAATGCCACTGCAATGATAGGTTACTGTGCTGTTTTTGGAGTTTGGGCGAGAATATTGTCAGTATATTTTAGATGATTGCATATTGCGTTAGCGAATCTTGGGATTGAAAATTTAGATTGGCTCTTACCATTGACAAAATGGACAACTTATGAAATTCTGAACTGCTGAATCTTTGAAACATTGAGATTACTGCAATGAAAATATCTTTTTTTCCGGTCTAAGTTGAAGAAGGGGTTCACTTGAAGAACCTCTGTAATTAATGGTGGCCTTGATGGATGGACATTATTTTTCTTTGTTTAAAAGCCTTAAACAAATTACAATGTCATTTGACTTATACTTACTCAGAGAGAACATATAAACATAGAAGATGCAATTGATTTTCAACATTCAGTTGCTTCGCAGCCGAAAAGAACGTCGGTGCGTGCTCTCTTTTACAACATAGCGGGAACGGGAACGCGTCTAGTAACTTGTGCATGCCACACATGTGTGTGTTTTTTTCAATTGAGCGTTTGAGTTGATCAATACTTGATTTTTGGTGCCCAAGCAACCTGATTTTTAGAGCTTTTTGTGCCTTATTTGGTTTAGGTTAGGTTTAATGCTCTGAGGTTTGATAAGTAGATTCCCGAGAATGATAAGTAGAAATCAAAATTTCTAATTTTATATCTAAGGTTCCATTGCACTCTTTTCAAATCAAAGTTTTTAAAATAGAATTTTATATCTAATTTTGGCTTGGTGATCTATTCACTCCCTCTAGATAAGGTGTTGTCGTCTAACACTTCTTTATGGCCATCTTCTCTGTGACATACTCTTAGATAGACTTCATCTTCTAAGTTGGAAGAAGATTCTTCGAAGGTTCTTCCCACTATTAGATAAAGCACCTAATGTAACATACTATTACCTCAGTCAGTAAGCCAACCGAAATAAGAGCTCTTATGCAGGCGCCTGCAAAAAAAGTTCTTTTATTAGTAACCTTAGTAGTATGTCAAGGCATATAAGCTTCGAACTCCAGCAACAATAAATTTTTTTTTTAATTACACAATAGACGTGTCACTTATAATCATAATATTTATACTAAAACTAAAATATTTTTTCACCACAATCTATACCATACAATTGCTTCTTACATAAACCTTGTAAATCAGAGGTAGGTGCTCTTTAAACACTTCTCGAGTTCAAGAATAAATAAGAATGTCTTCGAAAATACCACCACAAACTTATCTAAAAATGAATGAAAGATCTTGTTCATGTAACTCATAAAAATTGTCGGTGCATTACTCACTCTAAATGACATGATGAAATATATGTAGTGATCGTAATGGGTTTTGAAAGAATTTTTGTCTTCTTCTATAACTTCAATTTAATGATATTCATACTTAAAATCAATCTTAGAAAATATCAACACTTATTGTAAATGATCTATCAAATAAACAACACATGATAAAGGATTATGATTCTTAATAATCGTCTTAATAAGTTTCATGTATTTCACAGAGAGACACAAACATCTATAATTTTTCTTTACCAACAATAATAGAGCTCCCCATGATAACACCATTTTCTAATAAATCGTTTCTCCTATAAATCTTATACTTTGTCCTTTAGCTCAACCATTTCAGATGGCAACATCTGACATGAAGCCTCCTAAATGGGTCCACCTCTTAAATGGGTCCATTTCCAGGATGCAAGTCCATAAAAATTAAGTTTTTCCTAGGAGAGTTAGTCTAATAATTTTTGTTGGAAGCACACCTGATACAATTAAACCTCAAACACTTGGATGACTTTCTAAATTCACGACTTTATATCTAATATCCTTATACAACTACCTAAGCTAGTTTAATGAGATTGAAATATTTAAGTTTTCAATTGCTACATTAAATTTTTTACATCAACTCTATTGTTTATTTAAAAATTTTAAATTCTCATATTGTCAATTTATTTTATTTTATTGTTTTGAAAATTCAATATTCAGTCTTTGGATTAATCAAATCCATAAATCAATTCTACTATCTACTAGCGAGAGTGTATTCAAATTCAAAATCTTCTTCAATAATTTTACAAATTAAATGATATAAGCTTTTGAAACTTTATAGAAACAAATCTTCTAAAACCATTTTTACTAATGCAATTGTGAAACCTAATTGATCAAAATATTACTTTTACTTTTATCATTTTGCTATATTATTAAAATTAATTTGAAGTTATCTTAGTAATAATTGTGATATCTCTTCCATGTTAGATGCTAATAAGAGGATAGTGATGATGAAACAAATTAACTTACCACCTCTAATATTATACATACCATCTCAAAATTAATTATTTCCAAAATATCTTTTTTATTATTTATTTTAAATCTTTTACTTTTATTAAAAATATTTATTATTGGTCAAAAGAGTTAAAAATCGAAATATTTGGTATGTTAAGCAAATTTTCAATGTCGATTATGGTCACTTATCAGAAATTTTTTATATTCTACAAATTTTCGGTTACGATTAATTGAAATTGTCTAGTTAAAAATTTCAAAATTTTGGTATCAATTTTTAAAAAGCAGCACACGTACTAAAAATTACACAATTTTTTGATTGAAATCGTTTATCAGAAATTTCAGTCATATTTGAAATTTTCAGTATGTTTGCAGATGAAATTTTATATTTTTGCGGTGCTGAACCGGAAGCTTCAACTTCTTCTACGGATTCATGTGCTAATTTTATACCGTTCTTCATCACAGATATCGTATGGTTCCTATTTAATTTACACATTCTTTATTTGTTTTTATAAAAATTGATGAAGTTTATTAATTATACGTTGTTGTAATTGTCAGATTTTTGAATCACGAGTTAAAGTTTTAGAATGGACATAGTAAAAATTATGAGACTTAACATAACATTTTTCCCACTTCTCATAGCTCCACCCTCATACATGAGTCGACATACAATCATTGTTGTTGGTTTTGTCAACGAAAATTATTGGGTTCAGTTAAAGTTGAAATCTGATTGTCCACTATCTCCTGTCAATACTCGTTGGAGGGGAAATTGTACTAATGATGTAAAATCATGAGAATCAGCATATGTGAGTCGTTTTAGGTACTTGGAAGAATTCTCTAGGAAATGATTGTTTTTTTTTTACGTATGACATTTATTCTATTTATATAATAAGTCGGTTCGCTATTTCACCGTGTATTTTATTTAAGTGAAAGTTAAAAAATAAAAAAAAAAGTTTCAGTACTATCGAAAATTTTAAATTTTCTGTTTTTTCCAAACACTAGAAATTTCAAAATTTTGATTTTTTATAAAGATGAAATACACTGAAAATTTAAAATACAGTATTGAAAATTTTAAATTTCAGATTAAGTTTATATGAATGAAATTTCCAATATTACATCAAAAATTTCAAAAAATCTAATATATTTTAAAGACAATTTCGTAAATATACCAAGACTGAAAAGATGTTATGATATGGAGTGTGATGTTAATTCTTTTGTTTATGAATGTCTTTTATTAGAATGTAATTTTCATTAATATTTTTTCTTCAAAAGTAAAAAAAATAACATTTACATAATTATTTTTGATTAAATTGAAAAGGAATTTTGCTTATTATTTCCAATAAAATAAGTAACTAAATATATTAACTAAAACAAAAATAGACTTGTTAACCAAGTAAATAGTGGCGTTACTGAAACCACCCTTTTTAAAGGCAGTAATATGTAGAATGCTCGATGATTCTGTATAACAACCGCCTTAGTTAGGAACACACAAAACAAAACCGAAATTGAAAGAACGCGAAAATGGGATGGGTTTGGAGCGACGATGACAACGACGACGATTCTCAACGCAGCATCTCCTCTTCAGGTTCCGATGAACATAGCTCCACCACAAAAATCGTGAAATCGCAGTGTAGAACGGAAGAGGTTGAACCTGGAAAGTTCGTTAGGAAATGCGAGAAAACCGAAGAGCTTCTCAGAACTTGCGCTGGAAGGTAGTGCTTTTCTTTCTTCTTCTTCATAGTAAAAATATGATCGATTCGTTTATTAGGTTTTAGGAGGAAGGTATTTTGCTGCGAATCTAATTCTTTAATTTGAAATTGGTTTCTAATCAAGATGAAAATTAGGGTAAAGATTGTAGGTATTGATTTCGATTGAAAATGGAATAGTTTGTTTTTTTAGGTTAGGTTTTGTGCCATATTTTTTATTGATTTGTGGTTTCATCAAGATCCTAACTTGAAGTTAAACTATGATGCTTTATGCACATACAATGCCACTGCAATGATAGGTTACTGTGCTGTTTTTGGAGTTTGGGCGAGAATATTGTCAGTATATTTTAGATGATTGCATATTGCGATAGCGAGTCTTGGGATTGAAAATTTAGATTAGCTCTTACCATTGACAAAATGGACAACTTATAAAATTCTGAACTGCTGAATCTTTGAAACATTGAGATTACTGCAATGAAAATATCTTTTTTCGGTCTAAGTTGAAGAAGGGGTTCACTTGAAGAACCTCTGTAATTAATGGTGGCCTTGATGGACGGACATTATTTTTCTTTGTTTAAAAGCCTTAAACAAATTGCAATGTCATTTGACTTATACTTACTCAGAGAGAACATATAAACATAGAAGATGCAATTGATTTTCAACATTCAGTTGCTTCGCAGCTGAAAAGAACGTGGGTGCGTGCTCTCTTTTACAACATAGCGGGAACGGGAACGCGTCTAGTAACTTGTGCATGCCACACATGTGTGTTTTTTTCAATTGAGCGTTTGAGTTGATCAATACTTGATTTTTGGTGCCCAAGCAACCTGATTTTTAGAGCTTTTTGTGCCTTATTTGGTTTAGGTTAGGTTTAATGCTCTGAGGTTTGATAAGTACATTCCCGAGAAGCATGGACATGATGACAAAGTGAAATTTTAAATATTCCATTCAAATTTAAAATATTATGATATGATATATGGACACAATTCTATTTGGGCAGTGCTGCATGGGTGCATTTAGGCCCATGCTTCAATTGATCTCAATTTTTGCTATTTGGCTTATGCAGAGGCAGCAATGCTTTTTGGAAGTGCTCAATCAAAGTATCTTGATATTGGAACGTTCTTTTTTAATGTTTTTTATGCTTTACTGCTTTTTGAGATAAGGCTTGATTGTTGTTGTTGTTGTATTGGGTGATTATAATTTTTAGTCAGTAGGTTCCTAGGAATAAGAGTTGCAGTACTCAATTTTCTTCTCTAAATCAGATGCGACTGAAACTGAAATTTGATCTTTACCATTGACTAATTCTCAGGCCTGTTGAAGTGCTGCAATCAAACAGGGAGTACACTGAAGAAGATATCACTAACGAGGTACTTAGAGGAAGATCTACCACATTTGGCTCATCAGACAGCTCATCAGACCAAGGTATGTTCTTCCCTGGGCTACGAAATGATATTGAAAACATGGAACGCAACTTCTTCTTTGGTGGTATCAGTCGATTATTTGAAGCAGCTGAAGAAATGAAAAATGGCCTGTTTGATGTTATTGCAAAGGCAGAGTCGTCATCTTCTTCCCCTACGAGGCGAGGGATACCTATTGAAGAGTATGGCCGGCAAGAAACTCGTCCTAGATCCATGGATATGGAATCAGGGGATACTGATTTCACTGGATTGGCGAAGGACGTTTAAACTAAAAGTGTCTTGCATATTTGCTATATTTTTTAAGTTTGAGCTCAATCACAAATATCTTGACTACATGTATGCCCTTTAGTAAGGTCTTTTTGCCAGTTGTTTAGTTTTTTTTTTTCTTATTAGAAAAAATGGCTGATGTTTTGTACGGTAGTATGATATTTTTAAGCAAACTTCATATTTTAGCTAGGTTCTCTGTGGATGGATAGTGAGATTATAGGAATACGGCCACAACTTTCTTTCTTTCTGGAACCAGTAGAAATTTCTAGACGTGAGTTTTCAATGATTACTACTCAAAGTATTCATCTTTTTGTTTTAAAATTATTTGGAATGTTAACATAAAGTTACATCTATATGAAGGTAAGAAGATCACTTATGGATTGGAAAAGTCACCCTTTCCGTTGAGAAGTATATATGAATCGAGGATCATACGAAACTCAAATGTTAATGTTACCACTGCCAAACAATAAAATTCAGTATTTATATTCTACAAAAATAAATAAATGAACGTCCCATATGGCCGGTTATATATAAATAAAAAAATTTCATGGAATAAAGTCTTCACAGTTTTTTTCTTCTATATACACGTCTCTAAATTAAAGTCAAGGTCTCTGCCTAGCAACTTGAATTTATTTACAATTGAATATTGCTCTCTTTGGTTAAACAATACAGTATAATATTGAGAGAAACTGTAATTAAACCCAATAAGTTGTAGCTCTGAGCAAATAATTTGTAAGTCGTACCTCCATAATATTTAATATTAAGCACTTATAATGTAAATGAGGTTTGTTCTCAAGCTGAGAATGAAAACAACCACTTGGTCACTACTATTTTTCAATATGAGTGTATATTTTATTAATGAAAAATGCTTATTAGGAAGAAATTATGAAAGCAAGAAAGTTAAAAATTAAATCTTAATTATTTATTATTATTATTATTATTATTATTATTATTATTATTATTATTATTATTATTATTATTATTATTATTATTATTATTATTATTATCTTATGATTTTTATTTTTAAAAAAATTAAATTTAAAATAAAATTAAAAGTATCCTTTAAAATAACGACAAATATGTATTTTTGTCTTTCTTATTCAAATGATTTTTACTATATAATATTATTCTTTATTAATATGTTTATAAAAATTTTTTTTTTAATGTTTTAAATTGTTTCACTAGATTGAAAATTACTGATTTGATCACTAACTATAGGCCATTAAAAATAGACTACCTAATTAATATCTCATCCTCTAAATTATACATGTCTCTTTCACTATTTACTCTAAAAAAATTTATATTTATCAATTTATTTTTACTAATAGTCAAAGTGGGTCAAATCGGAATTTTTGGTATGCTAACCAAATTTTCAGTACTTCAATTTTGACGTATATTGGAAATACTTTCCATTACGTAAATTTTCGATTGTGAAAAATCGTAAATTTCTAAATTTCTGGGTGTGATTTATTAGAAATTTCAAAATTTCTGAGACAGTTTTCAAAAGTCATGGCGTAACAAATTTCTGGAAGTACACCGAAAATTTCAAATTTTCGTATAATCGAAAAATTTCAGTTATGTATGAAATTTCTAATATGCCTGCGGATGAAATTTTATGCATCTGCAGTCCAAAGTCGACAGCTTCAGCTTCTTCTACGAATTCATGTACTGATGTTACATAGTTCTTCACCATAAATATTGTATGGCTTCTATTGAATTTACACATTATTATTTGTTTGTCGACCTTAAATAAATTGATGAAGTTTACTAATTATATGTTATAGTAATTGGTAGATTTTTGAATCTCGGCCTAAAATTTTAGAATGAGCACAGTCTATTGGTAAAAAAAACATGATATTTTTGTTGTTATAATTAGTTCCGATTCGGCTAATGGAATACGAGAGAGGAAAGATAAATTGGTTATTGGTTGTGATAGAGGAGGAAACTTCAAAAGAAAAAAGGAATTTGGGCCCACCTCTGATGGCTTCTATACTATGAAAGTTAAATGTTCCTTCAGGCTGAGATCTGTTCTAAGTGGTATCATTTGGAAGGTGATAGTTAAATGATGGATGCATAATCATAGACTACATAAAGGCTTGGACGCCCATGACATATTTGGATGTCTAAAAGATCATGAAAAAAAGTTTGTGAATGACATGACGAAGTACAATATGACATCACGATACATCATTTCTATTTTGAAAGATAAAGATTCAGAAAACCTCAGAGTATTACACAGGTATATAGAGCTAGAGCAACATACAAATTGAACAAGAGAGGTGCAATGACCGAGATGCAAATGTTATTGTGCCTTATTCACCAAGATAAATACATATGTTGGACTAGAAATAGGGAGAATTTAGAAATTGTGGCTGATATCTTCTGGACCCATCCTGATTCTGTGAAGTTGTTGAATATATTTTATATAGTGTTAATTTTTGATTGCACATACAAGACAAATATGTACCAATTTTACTTCTCCCATCTTAAAATATGTTGAGTGAGCTGGTTGATTATGTGCATTTAAATCGTGTAGGTACCAACTACCACTGCTGGAGATTGTTGGTGTTACATCAATAAAATTTACGTTTTTAATTACCTTTGCTATTTGGGATGAGAACTACATATGGGCACTATAGAAGCTCAAATGGTTGTTCTATTCAGAGAAATTGCTTTCGAATATTGTGGTGACGGACCGAGAATTTGCATTGATGAATGTCATGGATTTTGTGTTTCCAAATGCAACTCATATATTGTGTACGTTCCATATTTCAAAAAATGTGAGCATGAAATGTAAATAGTACGTGAAATCAGAAAGACAAAAACATGTCATGGATCAATGGAACAACATCATGTATTCAAATACAGAAGATGAGTTTGATGTACATTTCAAGCACTTCGAGAGTATTTGTGGTGATATTCTATCTTTTGTCTAGTATGTGAATGAAACATGGTTAACACCATATAAAGAAAGATTTATTGTTGCATGGATTAACAAAGTCACTCATTTAGGGAACACAACAACAAATAGGTATTCAGATCGTGACTGTTTGATGTCATTATTATACATGTTTACGTTTCAATAATAATTTGTAACATGTTATTATATTTATGAATTTTAGGGTGGAGTTTGCACATTGGAGACTAAAAAAGTTGTTGACTTTAAGTCATGTTGATTTACGTCGAAGTTGGGATATTGTGAATACCATGTTGAAGTTGCATCTAGGTTCCATCAGTGTGTCATTTCAAAAAAGTATCGTAAACATTGAGCATCGATATAAGACCCCATTTTATGCTAAGTTACACGTTTTTGTCTCAAGACAATGTATACAACTTATTGTGAAGAAACTAGAAAGAGTAAAATTGATGGTTAAAACAAGGAGAGGTGTGGTTGTTTCATTAGAACAACACATGGGTTACCGTGTGCATGCCAGCTTATCGGTTTTCAAATTTAAGGCACCCTTATACCTTTGGAATCAATTTATGTATTTTGGACAAAATTTCACATTTCAGAATATGATGTGAGTCTTGAAGAGAGTAAGTGGGATCTAGAAGAAGAGTGTGAACAGTTGAAGAAATATTTCAGTATTTTGGATATTATGGATCAAAGGGTGTTGAATGTGTCCACCTCCGATGAAGTACAAGCCAAAGAGGGGAGTTAAGAAGAGTAAAAGGGTGAGGAGAGTGATGTGCATCGTGATCCTAGTTAGTGAGAATATGCTGAGGCTTTGCAGAAGAGTCAGACTATAAAGAGATCGTGTATAAAGCCAAATGGAAGTAAATCTTCAACCACACTGATTGGTAGGCAACCTTCTACCAAATCTTCAAGAGATAAGTACTTGTCACAATTTCCTGCTTTCTTTCATCTATACATCGATGACATTATTGATGTTGAACCGGATGAAAACTGTGGTTTCCGTTGCATTTGGTCTTTATTAGGATGGGAGGAAGATTCATGTTATTTGGTTCGGAAATAGTTAGATACTCAAGTCCATCAACATACTAACTTGTTTTCCAAGTTGTTATCTGACATTGTTTATGTTGTTAGGAATATGTTACAAGTAGAACACTAGGGTCTCCAGGATAGAGATAAATGGATGTTGATTCCTGATACGGGTTACCCTATTGCTTCTAAATACGGAGTTGTATTTGTTTCCCTTTCCATGCAACTTACCATAATATTTTTTCCACTTCTCGTAGCTCCACCCACGTACACGAGTCGGTATACAATAATTGCTATTAGTTTTGTCAGTGATAATCATTAAGTTCAGATAAAGTTGAAACCTGATTTTCCATTGCCTCCCGTCACTGCTTTTTGGAAACATAATTGTTATAATGATGTAAAAGCATGGGAATCAGTATATGTGGGTCGCTTCAGGCATTGGAAAGATTTGTGTAGTAAGTGATTGTAGTTTTTTCGGTACAAATATGTATTAAAATTATTCTATTTACGTATTAAGTCGGTTAGTTAATTTACTGTATAAATTATTCAAGTAAAAGTAAAAAAATTGGGAAAAACAACTCCCAGTACTACCAGAAATTTGAAATTTTCGATTTTTTTGCACCTACCAGAAATTACAAAATTTCCGATACATATAGAAGACAGTTACCAAAAATTTCAAATTTACAGTACCGAAAATTTGAAATTTCCAGTTACATGCATACGCCATAGTAAAAAGTGTTAAATTAAACCAAATTTATGGTATTATATCGAAAATTCTGGTATGAAACCGTGAATTTCCAAAATTCTGGTATTTTGCAGGAACTTTTCAGTAAATTTGCTACTGATGGGGGTGTCATGTATAATTTGGGGGGTGAGATGTTAACTTCTCAGACTCTTTATGATAGAGTAGTTTTTTTTTTTAATAATCAAGTTTTTCAAAAAAAAATGCCCCAATAACTAACATTTCACATTAATTTCTAAACTAACCATATTTTTAACAAAAAACTTTCGAGCCAAAATGGAGATGAAAATATTGTTGGCGCGTGTTCCTAATTTT